GAGGAAAGAAGGTAGCTATAACTATCAAACAAAAGGAATGTGTCATACGGTAAACTTTACAGCTGTCTCTCAAATAACTCTATTTCTCTTCATTTCTTAGTCCCCATTCAATTAAATCAATGATGGATTTAGAGTTGGATTTGGCTTTCCTCCCCTAAAATCCAAGCATGTTGTTTAACTAAATTTTAAAGTTTCTGTATTATATCAAGAAGCCAATTGATGTACTACAGAATAAATGAAGAATTTGTGGACTATCTTTTGTGTTTTCTTGGCTCTTTCTTTCAAATAATTGTCGTTTTTCATTGGTCGCCTTTCCCAGTACACATACATGTGCAAGCAAACATTTCTCTGCTGACACTTATGTTTGAGTCCCATACAGCCAACGAAGACCCGCCTGACAACAATCCCTGGATGCTCCGGAAAAAGAATTGGGCCATACCTCTCCAACTACACTGGATTCAACTTACTGTTTCGCCTGACACTCCAACCAGAACCTCGAGTACTGACTTCAATCAAGTTGAGGATTTCAACCTAGATCTTCAATCAAGCAAATCCCATCCATCTAACATGGACTGGACATAACCCAATACTTTCCCTGTGCTAACATTTTTTTTTCCCACAGGACCCTGAGAGACTACCATCGTCCCATTTCAGCAGGAAGTAGTAACTTAGAAGATGCTACGCCCCCGCTCCCCATTATTGTTTATTAGGGCAGTGCAAGCCTAGCTAGGAATAACTTTCAATCACTTTTAGACTGAAAGGGGAATTGTAGGGAGACACTGTAGCCCCCATCTCCTAGTAGCCCCAACAGGTGTGCTGGGACACGCCCGTGAGGGTGTGGTCAAGGGAGGTCCAAGGTGACTCTCGGGAACGATTCTTAAGGGACCCAGAGCACACGTGAATAGCCCTGCTTTCTGGCCTGGCTGCCTTGCTGCCCCTGGCACACCCTGGCTTGCATTTGGGCTGGTGTTTATCTGAATAAAAAAAATCTTAGCCTTACGGACTACGGATCATCTTTGAGTGCTTGTGGCACGCAATAATCATCACTTCCCCATCTCATCGGCTGTCACCACAGCCTGTGTGTTTTCCTCTTGTAATGCCTGAGGTCACAGTGCCTCTCCATTTCTACTACCACCTTGGCTCAGGTTGAGACAGGGCAAATAAAAATGAAAAATTCAGGGGACCTAAGAAGGAAAAGGAGTCACCGACTTGAAGTTGACTTCAAGTCTCTCAGCAGCTGAGACAGAGGCCCTGCAGCACCGTTGTCAAAACTGTCTGAGCCAGGTGTTGGTGGCACACGCCTTTAATCCCAGTGCTCTGAAGGCAGAGGCAGGCAGATCTCTGTGAGTTCGAGGCCAGCCTGGTCTCCAGAGTGAGTGCCAGGATAGGCTCCAAAGCTACACAGAATGAGCTAGTACCAAGATGAGCTGGAGTTGTAAAGGAAGAGCTTTGACGCAGCTGTGTCTGGGGGGGGGGGCTGTCTGTGGAGGCAATATTCCTTTTATGTAGAGATGTTTCAAATAAGAATTTGGAAATAGTTTGCCAGGGAGTGGTGGCGCACGCCTTTAAGCCCAGCACTGGGGAGGCAGAGGCAGGTATATCTCTGTGAGCTCGAGACCAGCCTGGTCTACAAGAGCTAGTTCCAGGAGAGGTTCCAAAGCTACACAGAGAAACCCTGTCTTGAAAAACTTAGAAATAACAAAAAAAAAAAAAAAAAGAATATGGACATAGCAATGAAGTACAATATTTGTTTGTATTG